TTTTTTTTTTTCCACAGTAGCTCCCTTAGTGGCAAAGGAGGAATCAAAAATAGCTGGAGGCTTGTTCAGAGGTGGGACACTGGGGAAAAAGGTCAGGGTCACTCAGAAGCCCCCGGGCAGTCATTGTATTTGCCATCAAACCCTGCCATTCAGGGCTTCAGGCAGACCAGAATGCCACAGTGAAGCCACAGCCAAGAGTCCACCTCAGAATCACTCAAGATTTTTTAAATGTAACCCAGGCCCCACCAGGCCAAATACAGAGAATGTATGGGTGGGGCCTGGGCAGGGTGTGTTTGGAGCCCCGGTCATTCTAATGTACATCCAGGTGCATGATCTTGTTGATGGCCAGGGATAGCCAATAAGTCCCTGTGCTCCAGGTATAGCCAGGGTGCATCTACCCCTGCACACACATCCCCATCTTCCCAGCAAATTGCATTGTCATATATAAATGGCAGGATTTGACCAGAAAGAATCCTTTGGCAGGGAAGAACTAAGTCACCCACTCATTTTCATTAATGTCAATCAATTCACACAAATTTAAATGTCACCTTATGAGTCTTTGTACAAAGGGAATCTGGTTAAGCTTTCTCACCTCCTCTCAGCCACCAAGGGGGCTGCTGTGAATTGAACAAACTGCATAGACTGTGAACAAGATGAGCCTCAACACCTGCTTACTGAACTGACATATGTTCACACTGTGCCTGGAAAGAGGTGCTATGCTTAGCATATCAAGGGGGTGTTGAATTGAATCCACCCACCTCTAATTCCTAGCAGAACCCTTTACCCTATTGGTATAAATTCTCTTGGAAGGCAATGGCTACTGAAGTGTCCAGGTCTATATTGTAAGCCAAGAAGCGTGGTACACACCCATCAACAGAGACTTCAGAGGGGGCTGGAGTTGCACATCATGGTGTTGTCGTGAGTGCAGAAGAGTCAAACCCCACCTCATCCACGTGCAGTCATCCCAGGAAGCTGGGCTGTGGTAGAGCAGCCCAGCCTGGACACCCTCTGGCCCCAGCCTGACATTGCTCGCCTGACCTCTGCACCTCCTGAGCTTAACTAGAACCATGGACTCCCAGAGCTTCTATTCCCAGACTGAAGGAGGGCAGCAGGGCTCCTGCCATCTTCAGTGCACATTCCTGGTGCACCACCTGCCGCACACTGTCTGTGCTCAGTGCCCCGTCCACTCTCTCTCATCTCATCCTCCCAACAGCCTTACGATGTGTGTGTCATTATCCCTACCTGACAGGCGAGCAGCTGGGCCATAGAGTTGCTTTCACTGGCCCAGAATCATGCAACTGGCCCGTGACAGAGCTGACATTTCAACTTGGTCTGCTGCAAATCAATGTTTTTCCCACTATACGTAGGTCCTTTTAACCATACGGCTGGAGTTCAGTCACCTGGAGTCTAATCCCAGTTTACAGCTAACCTGCTGAGTGAACACTGCTGAGCTGTTCTATTCTCCAGACACCCACCTCCCCAGATGTTAACTGGAGATGATACATGGTCATCCTACCTGATGAGAAATCAGGGATGTGATACAGAACACAGAGTAAAATCACCTCAAAGGTAAAAGCTACAGGATGTTACTACACGTAGAAAGGGATCTAGTTAAGCTTGAAGTACTGGGAACTGCAGTCCATCAAAATTTGCATTCTTCAAGCCTTTAGGGCTACTCATGTTTGAGTTATCAAGTAAAGATTTAAGGCCATCGCATAAAGACACTCCTTACCCGCTCCGGATTAGATCATAATTCAAAGACGTGAAGTCATTGGAGTATGGTGATGCCACGCAGGTGTCCACAAACAAGGTCAGTGCAGCATCAGAATGGAGGATTTCAGCCTGAACGTACAAGTCCTGGTTCAGCTTCACATAGTAAGGGTGGCTGGTCACAGGATACAAGAAAGAGGAGGAAGTATAAAAGGAAACGTTCACGTTAAAATTGCCATACTGGACTTCCTCAACCTGGATGGTGTCATTAGCAATGTACATGGTGTTGACCCAGGTGTTCTGAAGCATCCTGCAGCTGACGTGAATACGGAAGTTCTTCCTCCTCGTGATGATGCCCCGTGATGATGCCACGTGAGCTGCTGTGAGGAAGTTGGAATAGTCGATGGTGTCATTGTCTACCTAGGAGAGGCAGGCAAGAGAGCAGAGTCAGGCACATGTCACCTGCTAAGGGAATTCCACAGCTGATTTGGGTGTGAATGAGAGGGACATGATTCAGCAAGACTTCCACCCCTCCCAGAACCACTCAGAGATGGCGATGGCACATGCCTGTCCTTTAGCTATGAGGCAGCAGAGGATGCCAGAGCCCACACTCTGGTTCCAGGTCTGGGGAAGACCCACAGGAAGGGGTTCTACATTGCCCAGCTGCTCTTAGCTACATTTTCTGACTCTAAACTGTCTTACAAATTTTTTTTTGCTTTATATTTCAGTACCAACAGTTGTCACAATAAATCATATGACTTAAACCATATGACCAAAATAAACCATATTGTCAGGCCTCTGAGCCTAAGCCAGCACATAAACATCCAGATGGCCTGAAGTAACTGAAGAATCACAAAAGAAGTGAAAATGGCCAGTTCCTGCCTTAACTGATGACATTACCTTGTGAAATTCCTTCTGGTTCAGAAGCTCCCCCACTGAGCACCTTGTGACCCCTACCTCTGCCCACCAGAGAACAACCCGCTTTGACTGTAATTTTCCACTACCTACCCAAATCCTATAAAATGGCCCCACCCCTATCTCCCTTCACTGACGCTCTTTTGGACTCAACCCGCCTGCACCCAGGTGATTAAAAAGTTTTATTGCTCACACAAAGCCTATTTGGTGGTCTTTTCACATGGATGCGTGTGACATTTGGTGCCGTGACTCAGATTGGGGGACCTCCCTTGGGAGATCAATCCCCTGTCCTCCTGCTCTTTGTTCCATGAGAAAGATCCACCTATGAACTATGGTCCTCAGACCGACCAGCCCAATGAACATCTCACCAATTTTAAATCGGGTAAGTGGCCACTTTTTACTCTCTTCCCCAACCTCTCTCACTGTCCCTCAGCCTCTTTCTCCTTTCAATCTTGGCGCCTTCCTTCAATCTCTGCCTTCTCTTAATTTCAGTTCCTTTCCTTTCCTGGTAGAGACAGAGAAGACACGTTTTATCCGTGAACCCAAAACTCCGACGCCAGTCACAGACTCAGGAAGACAGTCTCCCCTTGGTGTTTAATCACTGTGGGGATGCCTGCTTGATTATTCCACGTTTCAGAGGTGTCTGATCACTGCAGGGATGCCTGCCTTGATCCTTCACCCTTAGTGGCAAGCACCGCTTTTCTGGGGGGCAAGCACCCCCAACCCCTTCTCTCGTGTCTCTATCCTTTCTTTTCTCTGGCCTTGCCTCCTTCACTATGGGCAACTTTCCACCCTCCATTCCTCCTTTTCCTCCCTTAGCCTGTGTTCTCAAGAACTTAAAACCTCTTCAACTCACACCTGACCTAAAACCTAAATGTCTTATTTTCTTCTGCAATGCCATTTAACCCCACTACAAACTTGACAGTGGTTCCAAATAGCCTGAAAATGGCACTTTTGATTTTTCCATCCTACATGATCTAGATAATTCTTGTTGTAAAATGGGCAAATGGTCTGAGGTGCCTGACGTCCAGGCATTCTTTTACACATCATCCGTCACTCCCTAGTCTCTGTTCCCAGTGCGACTCATCCCAAATCCTCCTCCTTTCCCTCCTGCCTGTCCCCTCAGTCCCAACCCCAAGGGGCACTGAGTCTTTTCAATCTTCCTTTTCTACCTACCCATCTGACCTCTCCCCTCCTACCCAGACTGCTACTTCTCAGGTCGCTCCCCACCTGACTGAATCAGGATCCAATTCTTCCTCAGCCTCCACTCCCCCACCCTATAATCCTTCTATCACCTCCCCTCCTCACACCTGGTCCGGTTTACAGTTTCGTTCAGCGACTAGCCCTCCCCCACCCGCCCAACAATTTCCTCTTAAAGAGGAAGCTAAAGGCATAGTCAAGGTTAATGCTCCTTTTTCTTTATCTGACCTCTCCCAAATCAGTTAGCGTTTAGGCTCTTTTTCATCAAATATAAAAACCCAGCCCAGTTCATGGCTTGTTTGGCAGCAACCCTGACATGCTTTATAGCCCTAGACCCTGGAGGATCAGAAGACTGTCTTATTCTCAATGTGCATTTTATTACCCAATCTGATCCCGACATTAAATAAAGCTCCAAAAATTAGATTCTGGCCCTCAAACCTCACAACAGGACTTAATTAACCTCGCCTTCAAGGTGTACAATAATAGAGGCAACTAAGTAGCAACACATTTCTGAGTTGCAATTCCTTGCCTCCACTGTGAGAGAAACCCCAGCCACATGTCCAGCACACAAGAACTTCAAAATGCCTAAGCCTCAGTGGTCAAACATTCCTACAGGACCTCCTCCATCGGGATCTTGCTTCAAGTGCCAGAAATCTGGCTACTGGGCCAAGGAATGCCCGCAGCCTGGGATTCCTCGCAAGCTGTGTCCCATGTGTGCAGGACCCCACTGGAAATCAGACTCTCCAGCTCACCCGGCCGCCACTCCCAGAGTCCCTGGAACTCTGGCCCAAGGCCGGCTGACTGACTGCTTCCCAGATCTTCTCGGCTTAGTGGCTGAAGACTGATGCTGCCCCATCGCCTCAGAAGCCTCCTGGACCATCATGGACGCTTTAGGTAACTCTTACAGTGCAGGGTAAGTCCATCCCCTTCTTAATCAATATGGAGGCTGCCTACTCCACATTACCTTCTTTTCAAGGGCCTGTTTCCCTTGCCTCTATAACTGTTGTGGGTGTTGATGGCCAGGCTTCTAAACCTCTTAAAACTCCCCATCTCTGATGTCAACTTGGACAGCATTCTCTTATGCACTCCTTTTCAGTTATCCTCACCTGCCCAGCTCCCTTATTAGGTGGAGACATTTTAACTAAATTATCTGCTTCCCTCACTATTCCTAGCTGATAGCCACGCCCGATTGCTGCCCTCTTCCCCAGTTCAAAGCCGTCGTCGCATCCTCCCGTTGTATCTCCCCACCTTAATCCACAGGTATGGGACACCTCTACTCCCTCCTTGGTGACCGATCATGCATCCTACCATCCCATTAAAACCTAATCACACTTACCTAGCTTAACACTAATGTCCCATCCCACAGCACGCTTTAAAAGGATTAAAGCCCATTATCACTCGCCTATTACAGCATGGCCTTTTAAAGCCTATAAACTCTCCTTAAAATTCCCCCTTTTACCTGTCCAAAAACTGGACAAGTCTTACAGGTTAGTTCAGGATCTGCGCCTTATCAGTCAAATCGTTCTGCCTGTCCACCCTGTGGTGCCCAACCCATACACTCTTTTGTCCTCAATACCTTCCTCCACAACTCACTATTCCATTCTTAATCTTAAAGATGTTTTTTTCACTATTCCCCTGCACCCCTCATCCCAGCCTCTCTTTGCTTTTACCTGGACTGACCCTGACACCCATCAGTCCCAGCAGCTTACCTGGGCTGTACTGCCACAAGGCTTTAGGGACAGCCCTCATTACTTCAGTAAAGCCTTTTCTCATGATTTACTTTCTTTCCATCCATCTGCTTCTCACCTTATTAAATATTTTGACAACCTTCTACTTTATAGCCCCTCCTACAAATCTTCCCAACAGGACACCCTTCTGCTCCTCCAACATCTATTCTCAAAAGAATATCGCGTATCCCCCTCCAAAGCCCAAATTTCTTCCTCATTCATTACCTATCTCGGCATAATTCTTCATAAAAACACATGTGCTCTCCCTGCTAATCGTGTCTGGCTAATCTCCAAAACCCCAACCCCTTCTACAAAACAACAATTCCTTTCCTTCCTGGGCGTGGTTGGATACTTCTGCCTTTTAATACCTAGTTTTACCATCCTGGCTAAACCATTATATAAACTCACAAAAGAAATGCTAGTTGACCCCATAAATCCTAAATCCTTTCCTCACTCCCCTTTCCATCTGTAAAAAACAGCCCTAAAAGCTGCTCCCACATGAGCTCTCCCTAACTCATCCCAATCCTTTTCATTACACACAGCCGAAGTACAGGGCTATGCAGTCAGAATTCTTTTTTTTTTTTTTTTTTTCAGTCAGAATTCTTATACAAGAGCTGGGACTGTGCCCTGTAGCCTTTCTTTCCAAACAACTTGACCTTACTGTTTTAGCCTAGCCCTCATGTCTGCGTGTAGCAGCTGCCACTGCCCTAATACTTTTAGAGACCCTCAAAATCACAAACTATGCTCAACTCACTCTCTACAGTCCTCATGACCTCCAAAATCTATTTTCTTCCTCACACCTGATGCATATACTTTCTGCTCCCTGGCTCCTTCAACTATATTCACTCTTTTTTGAGTCTCCCACAATTACCATTGTTCCTGGCCTGGACTTCAATCCAGCCTCCCAAATTATTCCTGACACCACACCTGACCCCTATGACTGTATCTCTCTAATCCACCTGGCATTCACGATTTCCCCATGTTTCCTTCTTTCCTGTTCCTCACCCTGATCACACTTGGTTTATTGATGACAGTTCAACCAGGCCTAATCACTACTCACCAGCAAAGGCAGGCTATGCTATAGTATCTTCCACATTTATCCTTGAGGCTACTGCTCTGCCCCCGTCCACTACCTCTCAGCAAGCCGATCTCATTGCCTTAACTCAGGCCCTCACTCTTGCAAAAGGACTATACATCAATATTTATACTGACTCTAAATATGCCTTCCATATCCTGCATCACCATGCTGTTATATGGGCAGAAAGAGGTTTCCTCACTACGCAAGGGTCCTCCATCATTCATGCCTCTTTAATAAAAACTCTTCTCAAGGCTGCTTTACTTTGAAAGGAAGCTGGAGTCATTCACTGCAAGGGCCATCAAAAGGAGTCAGATCCCATCGCTCAGGGCAATGCTTATGCTGGTTCCAACTTCTGTCCCTTATGGCCAGTTTTTCTCCTTCTCATCACTCACTCTCACTTACTCCCAAAAGGAGTCAGATCCCATCGCTTAGGGCAATGCTTATGCTGATAAGGTAGCTAAAGGAGCAGCTAGCGTTCCAACTTCTGTCCTTTATGACCAGTTTTTCTCCTTCTCATCACTCACTCTCACCTACTCCCCCACTGAAACTGCCACCTATCAATCTCTTCCCACACAAGGTAAATAGTTCTTGGACCAAGGAAAATATCTCCTTCCAGCCTCACAGGCCCATTCTATTCTGTCGTCATTTCATAACCTCTTCCATGTAAGTTATAAGCTGCTAGCCTGCCTCTTAGAACCTCTCATTTCCTTTCCATCATAAAAATCCATCCTCAAAAAATCACTTCTCAGTGTTCCATCTGCTATCTTACTACTCCTTAGGAATTTCTCAGGCCCCCTCCCTTCCCTACACATCAAGCTTGGGGATTTACCCCCGCCCAGAACTGGCAAATTAACTTTACTCACATGCCTGGAGTCAGGAAACTAAAATACTTCTTGGTCTAGGTAGACACTTTCACTGGATGGGTAGAGACCTTTCCCACAGGGTCTGAGAAGGCCACCGTGGTCATTTCTTCCCTTCTGTCAGACATAATTCATCAGTTTGGCCTTCCCACCTCTATACAGTCTGATAACGGACCAGCCTTTACTAGTCAAGTCACCCAAGCAGTTTCTCAGGCTCTTGGTATTCAGTGAAACCTTCATACCCCTTACTGTCCTCAATCTTCAGGAAAGGTAAAACGGACTAATAGTCTTTTAAAGACACACCTTGCCAAGTTCAGCCTCCAACTTAAAAAGGACTGGACAGTACTTTTACCTCTTGCCCTTCTCAGAATTAGAGCCTGTCCCCGGGATGCTACAGGGTACAGCCCATTTGGACTCCTGTATGGACGCTCCTTTTTATTAGGCCTCAGTCTCATTCCAGACACTAGCCCAACTTGAACTGCACCCCAAAAACTTGTCATCCCTACTGTCTTCTGTCTAGTCATACTCCTATTCACCATTCTCAACTACTCATAAATACCCTGCCTTTGTTTACACTGCCAGTTTACACTTTTCCTTCAAACCATCATAACTGATATGTCCTGGTTTTATCTCAAACCACTACCCTTAAGTCTCTCTTAAAGTGGACAGATAATCTTTGCTGACAGGAAGTACGCTCCAATACTTTCACCCTGAAGTCCTATTCTTTACTTTTATACTCAAAATCTTATTCTCGTTCCTGTTCGTAAGCCACCCTCTACCTCTCCCCAGCTATCTCCACCACACTATCAATCTCACTCACTCTGTCCTAGCCATTTCTAATCCTTCTTTAACAAACAGTTGCTGGCTTTGCATTTCTCTTTCTTCCAAAATCACTGAAGCCCTGACTTACTCACTACTGAAAAAAGGGGACTCTGTATATTTTTTAATGAAAACTGTTGTTTTTACCTAAATCAATCTGGCCTGGTGTACGACAACATAAAAAAAATCAAGAATAGAGCCCAAAAACTCACCAACCAAGCAAATAATTATGCTGAACCCCCTTGGGCACTCTCTAATTGGATGTCCTGTGTCCTCCCAATTCTTGGTCCTTTAATACCTGTTTTTCTCCCTCTCTTATTCAGATATTGTGTCTTCCATTTCATTTCTCAATTCATACAAAACTGCATCTGGGCAATCACCAATCATTCTGTATGACAAATGCTCCTTCTAACAACCCCACAATACCACCCCGTACCACAAAATCTTCCTTCAGCTTAATCCTTCCCACTCTAGGTTCCCACACCGCCCCTAATCCTGCTCGAAGCAGCCCTGAGAAACATTGTCCATTATCTCTCCATACCACCCCCAAAAAAATTTTCGCTGCCCCAACACTTCAATGCTATTTTATGTTATTTTTCTTATTAATATAAGAAGACAGGAATGTCAGGCCTCTGAGCCTGAGCCTGCACGTATACATCCAGATGGCCTGAAGTAAGTGAAACATCACAAAAAAGTGAAGATGTCCAGTTCCTGCCTTAACTGACAACATTACCTTGTGAAATTCCTTCTCCTGCCTCAGAAGCTCCCCCACTGAGCACCTTGTGACCCTCACCCCTGCCCGCTGGAGAACAACCCCCTTTGACTGTAATTTTCCACTACCGACCCAAATCCCATAAAACGGCCCCACCCCTATCTCCCTTCGCTGACTCTCTTTTCGGATTCAGCTCGCCTGCCCCCAGGTAATTAAAATGCTTTATTGCTCACACAAAGCCTGTTTAGTGGTCTTTTCACACAGATGCGCGTGACAGTATGACCTTTCTTAGTCTTTCAAAGATACTCTCAGGTGCTTTCCATTGAACCCTGTACATTAACATGATCATTTGCATAGACGTCACCTTTGCCTATGGTGCCTACGATGGAGATAAATTCTGAATCCACTCCAAACAATGAACGTGGAGTGCAGATTTATTTCTTGGTCAGAAGAAGCAGTTCTAATTTTAGATTAAGATTCATTATCACAGGCCAGCCTGGTAGAGCTGTGGGAAGCTCCAGCCATGGATGGCACAGCCCTACCTCTGTGTCCTAGACACATAGCTCATGGCCATATGGTCCTGGGCAAGTGGCTTACCTTCTGCAAGCCTCCGTTGCCTCATAATTAAGTGGGAATAAAGTTGTCCTGAGAATTTTAAAAGTTATATAGTACACTTAGTTCAGTGTCTGATATCTGTATGAGCTATTAATAACACTATATCAACTCTCAGGCTCAGGACCAGGGGCACTGGGGGTTGCAAAGATGAACAAAACATTGGCCCTGCCCCTGAGGCACTCAGTGTGATAGGAAATATGGTTATTTAAAGAAATAGAGGAGGCCAGGAGCAGTGATTCATGCCCATAATCCCAGCATTTGGGAGGCCAAGGCAGGAGGATCACTTGAGCTCAGGAGTTTGAGACCAGCCTGGACACATAGCAAGATCCCACCTCTACAAAAAAAATTTTTTTTAATTAGCTGGGTGTGGTGGCGCATGCCTGTAGTCCCAGCTACTCTGAAGGCTGAGGCTGGAAGATTGCTTAAGCCCAGGAGTTCAGATCTGCTGTGAGCTATGATGCACCCATGCCTGGGCATCCAGCCTGGGCAACAGAATGAGAACCTGTCATTAAAAAATTAAAATAAAAATAAATAAATAAGTGGAGGAATAAGAATGTGGAATGTGCTGTGCATAATCAGCCAAGTTAGAAGAAACAGGGCTGAGAGAATTGTCTGGCTGCTCCAAATGGGTGTGAATGGGTGTGAACAGGTGTGAACAGGTGTGAAGGGCTCTCAGCAGGGCTGCTCAGGTGGCAGTCTCCAGGCTACACACTTGGCACAGGAACAATGGTCACCTTCAGTGAACTGACTTCCACTGACCAAACTCACAAGCCAGAACCCAACACAATTAAGGCCAAGCCTTCACTGGGAGAGTATGACAAGGACTAATCACAGCATCTGCCACTTGTAGGGTGACTAACTGTCCTCGTTTGCCTGGGAGTGAGGGGTTTCCTGGAATGTGGGACTTTCTATGCTAAAATCTGCAAAGTCCCAGGCAAATCACAGAAATCTGTGGTAGGGGCTGTTGAAAACTTCAGTATAACCATAGCTGCAGTCACCTTCAAGCCTATAGAGAAGGGACACACCATTTTGGCTTCACTTTCACCCAAAATTGGACACAGGGGGCCATCTTAGATGGTGATAGCTCAACAAATGGCAGCTGCAGAGGCCAACTGACTGTGGAGCTAAAGAAGCTGAAGCTTTCGGGCCCCTCTTCCCTGCCTGGTGCAATGTGCGGGCCTCGTTCGAGGCCTAGTGATGTGTTTGCACAGCCATACGTTGTCATAAAGTTTATAAAAGTTCATAGATATTGCACTCTTTGACTTAATGAGGCCCCTGCCCCTCTCAACACCTGCCCCTCACCGCCGACCCTAATTCTATAAGCTTCGGACCCTGCAAAATCTGGAGCTGCTCCAGAAGCTGCTATTGTTATTGCTGATGGAAAAAAACCAAAAGTTTTTTATCTTCCTTTATTCCAATTATGTCCTGATTATGCCAAAATCATAATTTCTGCATCCCCAGAACTCAAGAAGCACAGCACATACCACTATAAGAAAGCTCATACACTGGGAAATGGAATGGGAAGCCCCAGGCTTACCTGCTTGAAGGTGCCGCAGCCTGAGTAGGGAATTGTGAATATCACCAGGTTCGGTGTTATCTGAGGCCGACACTCGTAGTACCCATTCCAGGTGGAAATGACAAGGTCACTGGCAGAAAAGCCCAAGGATTGGAGGTAGCTCCTGCTCACGCTGGCTTGCATGTGATTTGGCAGACAGAGCAGGTCTGATAGACAAGGACAGATAAGGCACTCAGTCATTGCCCCGGACTCCACAAGTCCTATGGAGTCAGATGCCCTTTCCACTTAAAAAGTGCACAGACCTGGGTGGCTGACAGGGAGGGTGGGCACTTAGGGTGTGGGCACAGACTTCACTGCAATCCCTCAAGGACCCTAAGGTCAAGTCAGCCCCATTCTTATGAAAGCCCAGGGAGAGCACGTGGACTCAGGATTTCTCTGATGGAGAATTGGAGGCAGCATTTTTAAATAAGTGGAATGTTTGGCCAAGTTACCATTTATCTATAAAGGAAAGTAACTGCATGGTCAAATTATGGGAATGTCATGAAACAAGGTCTTTTAGCCATGAAGCAAGTCAATCTTTAATCCTGACTGCATAAGAGACCCTGAATGTCACCTTGCCTGGTCCTTGGCCAATCCATATATCAGTCCATATAGCAACTCAAATCATAGCCATACAGGCTCTGCTGGAAGTGGCTGAGAGACCTTATCTCAGCCACTTCCAGCCACCCAGCTCAGTCTATCTTCAGACAGAAGCCAAATGTGTTAGGTCTCAGGCCATGGACACAGTGTCCCACACTCTGAGAAGGTCACAAGGTTTCAAGCCAAGAGGTCACCTCTGCCTCTGGCACTGACTCATCCATCTCCGCTAAAAGCATCATCTGGGACCCTCTACTTAGTCTCTGCTGACCACAGAAAGGCCAATCATCACCTGTCAGCCAGTTCTAGTCCTGACTTCATTTCTGGGAAGCCAGAGTCCTGAGGCCCACTACTCCTGGCCCCTTTCAGCTGAAAATCAAGCCCTGGTGACCTGAAAGGGTTCCTTCATTTCTTATTTCACAACCACGGGACAGTTGAGCCACAGATGCTCTCAGGATGTCCCCAGTCCCAACAGATCATTCCCACAAGGGGACTTACTGGTGCTGTCATTGGAGGGACTGGAGTAGTACTCAGCCCGGAACCCTCTCCTCGTGATGCTGTGGTCACTGACGAAGCGAATGGACATGAAGTTGGAGGAGGAAGTGAAGGAGCCTCTGGCCCCATCACAAACTCGAGCAATGAGAGGGGAACTGTGGTAGGGGCCATCGAACACTTCAACGTAATCATAGTTGCAGCCACCTTCAAGCCTGCAGAGAGAGGAAACACCATTTGGCTTCATTTCCTCCCAGAATTTGACAGAGGGGTCAGATATCAGGGTGGGGTCGCACCTCCGTGCCAGAAACTCTGACAAAGTTCATCAATGAGAGTCATAGGTCTCCTTGGCTGGGCACAGTAGCTCACGCTTATAATCCCAGCACTTTGGGAGGCTGAGGTGGGTGGATCATCTGAGGTCATAAGTTAGAGACCAGCCTGGCCAATGTGGTGAAACCCTGTCTCCACTAAAAATACAAAAATTAGCTGGGCGTGGTGGCACAAGCCTGTAGTGTGAGGGAGGCTACTCAGGAGGCTGAGGTAGGAGAATCGCTTGACCCCGGGAGGCAGAGGTTGCAGTGAGCCGAGATCGTGCCACTGCACTCCAGTTTGGGCGACAGAGCGAGGCCCTGTCTCAAAAAATAAAAATAAAAATAAAAATTGAAAAAAAAGAAAGTCATAGGTCTCCTTAAATCAAGAGTCTCATCTTCCCTCAACCTCCATGCCTGGGTCTTAGTCCGGCCCTTTGCGGTCACAAATATGAAATCTACAGCCCCTCACGTGTCAGCCCTTTACATCAGGAAAGGAAGGGCTCGCATCCTGATCTAGACCATTTTTCTTCCATCGAAAAGCCCCTGGTGCCCCCACAGAATAAAATCAATATGCATGAGTTCATAGTGAGAGAAATAAATAACTGAATAAATATTGGGCAAGTCAAATAATCTCTCTAAAGCTTTTCCTGTTTACAAAGGCAAAATAATCTGATCCATGCACGCTGAAGAGGGCTATGGTGAAGCTCAAATAAAACAACATACAGAAAAGGGCTTTGTAAAATGTCACAAATGGTGATGGTCATTGCTATCAAGATGCTGGTTAAAGAACCACTCATGGTCAACCTTTTCCCATAGGACTGCATAAGTTTTAAGTGCAATCTTTGTATTGTAATGACAAAGAGAATAAAATGATGTATCTTTTGCAAAATCCCATATGAATTACTAAAGCAGAGACTCCAAAACCCACTGCAAACAGAAATCAACAGGGAAAACTATTTTGTTCAATAGTGGCTGCTAGAGAAGAAATTAGTGTAGCCCCTTGTTCAGGACACTAGAAAATACTGGTACCTCTTTGCGGTCAGTTGGGCCACCCACCTCCTTGGATAAATCATATATTAATGTACTTTTGATGTCAGCCATGGTGGCTCACACCTGTAATCCCAGCACTTTGGGAGGCCGAGGTGGGAGGGTCACCTGAGGTCAGGAGTTGAAGACCAGCCTGGCCAACATGGTGAAACCCCGCCTCTAATAAAAATACAAAAATTAGCCAGGCATTGTGGTGTGTGCCTGCAATCCCAGCTACTTGAGAGGCTGAGGCAGGAGAATCGCTTGAACCCAGGAGGCGGAGGTTAGAGTGAGTCAAGACCGTGCCTCTACACTCCAGCCTGGGTGACAGAGCGAGACTCCGTGTCAAAAAAAGAAAAAAAAAAGAAAGAAAGAAAAGAAAAGTGCTTTTAGTAATGTCCCCTCTGCTTAAAACGATGATTTCTACTTGTGATTAGATGCAGAGCAGATACCCTACCCTCTGCAGCAGCAATTCCTCCATCTCTCCCTGATCCCTGGGGAACTCACATGAAGAAAGGAGAGGGTGGAGAAAAAGGGTTCCACAAAACTGATACAATTGTTCTTTTTGTTTTGTTTTGTTTTGTTTTCCTGAGACAGGGTCTCGCTTTGTTCCACAAGCTGGAGTGCACTGGCGCTATCATAGTTCACCACAACTTTGAACTTCCAGGGCTCTGGCAATTCTCCCACCTCAGCCTCCTGAGTAGCTGGGACTACAGCTGCAGGTCACCATGCTGAGCTAATTTTTGTATTTTTTTTTTCATAGAGATGGGGGTCTCCCTATGTTGCTCAGGTTGGTCTTGAACTCCTGGGCTCAGGTGATCCTCCCGCCTCAGCCTCCCAAACTGTTGGGATTACAAGCCTGAGGCACCATACCTGGCCAGTGTGGTTGCTAATAGGATTATTTGTGCTATTATTGCCCCTAAGTCTATCATTACTACTTAACAGCCATCTTTTCCATTGGACAACATTTTGTAAATATTTTCACATCTCTCTCCCTCTCTCCTCTCTCTTTCTTGTGACCTTCCCAGTAACCAATGAGGTGAGGAGAGCAGGTATTTTATTCCCCTCTTTTGACTGAGGCTCAGGAAAGTTAAGTGACTTCCTGTGGTCACACAGCAAATTGGTGGCAGACCTAGGACTTGAAACCAGAGCTTTTGTCCAGTCCAAGGCTCTTGTGCCCTCTCCCCAACTCTCCCCAGGATGCCTCTGGGCTAGGTCAAAAATGTCTCCCAGCGAACATCTCTCCTGATGTTCTAAGTAGCATTTATTCCCTCTTGAAAGGTCTGTGAGGCCCCAAGGCATTCTTCTTGGCGCACACTTACTGGACATCTCTGAAGACCACCGTCACACGGTGGTTGTTTTGCACCTCAATGTCCCACACACACTTGGCATTGTTCGGATAGTTCCCGGGATAGAATGGGCTGGAAAAGTCCCCTGATGGTTGGGACAGGAAGCCTCCACAGGAATAATTTGCTGTCAGGACAAAAAACGGGAATGTCGGAGACCCCCAGAGCACACTGCACAGTCACCTGGGGGCTATTTTAAATTTAAATTACTTTAAAAATTTAAAAAATAATTCCCAAGACAGAAACCAAATAAAAGCAAGAGGTGGCCTAGATCTGGACCATCCACTGAGGGCTGGCGGGGCACTCTTGCAGGGAGATCACCTTTGGGGAAGCCGTCTCCTCCCCAACCCCATTGTCACTGAGGAAATGGGAAAGGGGATTTCCAGGCCACTCTGCCACAGACTCATCAGGGAGCTCAGAACTTACTGTTTGGATGGGTGACGTTGAGAAAAGGAACTGTTGACAAAAAGAAAAGATCAGGATCAGTTTTCCGGCATCCCTGGCACAGCTGTCGACTGCTTGTGAGCTGTGCAGATGCTGTGCCAAGCCTGAGTCCACAGGGAGGAGCTGGACACGGGCCTTGCCCTTGGGGAGCTCACTTGCCCTTGGGGAGGTCTGGAGGAGAGCGAATCCCAGCAGAGTGGGAAGAGGCTGAGATTGACCAAAGCCTGGGGAAGGAGAGGAGCCTAGAAGTCTGGCCCCTGCCCCAGATGGAATGGGGAAAAAAGGGCAGTAATTAGAGGGCAGGCAAAGAGGTAGAAATGGGGTGTTCCAGGCAGAGGAACAGCAGGTACAACTGCACCCAGGTGGAAGAGATTTGGGTACCTCCAAACCTCCGAAGCAGGCAGCAGAGGGGGAGAGGGCACCAAACATAGGGAGCCCTGGCAGTCATGCTGTGTTGAGGAGGGGGTCACCACCAGAAGACCCTGAGGAATCACTTGAAGGGGCTGCACAGTGGAGAATGGATGAGAGGGGCAGGCCTGAAGCTGCTGCTGTGGGAGGCCAGAAGGAGATGACAAGGCAAGCAAGGATGGGAGGTGATATTGGAAAGGAAAGACCTGAGGTGCCAGGGCCATGCTGGGAACACTCAGAGCAGCTCAGGAGCAGGCAGGGAGGAGCTTAGCGATGCAGTGGGCCCCATTTGGCCAGCACTGGTCAGGGTCTAGTGTCTGCGAGGACAGGCAAATCTGACAGGTGGCAGGCCGCACCTCGGGACTGACTAGAGATCCTACTCTTAGGTGGGCCAAGCCACTGAAGCACAGAGAGGGGCACACTGTCCTGGTGACTGGCAGGGGAGGGGACAGGGGCTGTAGAGGAGGGCACCACAGATAAATTCCTTGGAGAGTGAGCAACACGCCCTGCACAGTCTAGGCAGCAGCAATGGAGAGACCTGGAGACCAGGGAAGTGGAATGGAAATCGGGGGGACTTACCAGGTGTCGATGGTGGGTTTCCTGAAAAGGAATAGAAGAAAAGCATAGGTCACAGACATGTGGCTTTGAGGAGGGGCCAGAATGAGGCAGAGATACACGTACATGGCTTATAACCTGACCCCCTCACCAAGGACCCCCAGGTCTACCGAGCAATTGCTGTGGAGAAGCCTTCGCAGCTTCCCCGGATGCTCCCTAAGTCCCGTCATACTTGTGGTCATCAGGATTACAGCTGAGATCATAACACCCATCACTCTCTCCTTGACCATGATTGTTCTAAAATCATCCCAACTGTCACTGGCAGCAAGTACTATCATAGCCACCCTGACTCAACAGTCAAGGAAACTGAAGCATAAAGAAGTTGAATCATTGCTGGAGGTCCTTTAGTCAGATGAGTGTTCAGCATAATGGCCCTGGGTCCAGAAACTGGCCAAAGATAAAGCAGCCCCCTGCATGCTCTTCTGGAGTGCACAGGCCACGAGCACACATGACCAGCTCCTGCCTGGGCCACAGACACCATCAGCCACTGGCCTTAAGCTCTCCCTTTATAGCAGGTTACAGGTGACATGGGCCTTCCATGGCATTGGGCCTTACCTGAGCAGATGACACCAGCATCTTCGTTGTGACGACAGTTGTGGGAGAACCAGCCTCGGTTCCGGCACTGCCAGAGAGTGGATTCCGTCCCTGAGCATTCTACATCGTCCAGGGTGATGGGGCCAGAGCCAGCGCCAAAATAGGCGTTTCCAAGGGCTGAAACTGCACGTCCACACCCCAGCTGTCTGCAGACCACCTCAGCTTCGTGAATGGTCCAGGAGTCATCACAAACTGTCCCCCAGGTGCCACCATGGTAAATTTCAACACGCCCGGCACATAGACCGTAGGATGAGTTTAAATTGACCAACCTCAAGGTGGCATCTGAAAGACACATTAACTGGGAAATCATGGCCATTTCCCACAGCAAATGTCCCACAACAAACCTCAAAGGCCAAGCATCCCACAGGCCTTTCCCCACCTCCAAAGTCATCAAATAGAAATGTGGAAAAGCTGGAGTGGAGGTACTGGACCACTCCACGCAGAGCTGAAAGGGGCTCCAGACATCACCAAGCTCAGATCCCCTCACCTCCAGACAGAGAAGGGTGGCTCTGCAAGGAGAGTCACTAGGTCCCCCGGAAAGCTGGTGGCAGACCCAAGGCCAGGTGTGACCCCCCAGTCTGCACCCTTTGCTGCCTTCCCAAGGGCCTGCCCCTCCTTGAGGCTCACACAGCCAGAGCTAAGAGAAGGAGAATGGGCAATGCATCGCTGAGGCCCTTCATTGATTTCCTTGGGGAACCATGATGCCCCCAAAGAGGCAGCTGGGTAAATCCACCAAGCCTCGTAGGCATGGTCTAGTGTGCACTTACCGCTTGGGAAAGAGTTATACCAAGCCAAAAAGCCGGTGTTTTGGAAACTGATGTCACTTCGAAAGTGAATGGTCATTCGGTTGTAAGAAGATGTAAATATTTGCCTGGTATCATTACAGATTTTCCCCAGCAGGTGACTGCTATTTAATGATCCATCAAAGATTTCAACATAATCAAAACTGCAGTTATAGTGTGCCTCCAGCCTGTATGGAGAAAATGTATTCAAGTCAACATCGAAATTCCTATTGGCCCTCCATTTTTTAAATAGTTTGGACTTTATGAGTGATGCCATTGAATACAGGTTTTTCTTCTAGCTCTTCCTCAATTAAGCCAAAGGACATCAGTATTCCCTGATGCTTTATGATAAGAACCAAAGCCACCAAAAGCTTGTCCACAGCACACGAGAGTGAAAAGCATCCCAGTCCAGGACACTGTCTAAACCACTGGGTGTGCTGCAGAGGGACTCACCCCTCACCAGATGACCAGGCATTACTTACTGCAGATTACTGAAGCCCAGGTTTATGCGATAACCAGAATTCACTTCTATTTCCCAAACACACTTAGCATTGTTGGGGTAGTATGCAGGGTAGGATGGGCTGGAGAATGTCCCACTGGCACTGAATAAGAAGCCACCACAATTTGAAGAGGGTCCTAGAGAGGAGAGAGGGGACATCTCCATTGTATCAGGTCTTCAGGTATTTTGTGACAAGCAATCATCCGTGTAAGTATCATCCAGTTTCATCTTCTGCACTTTATAACATGACTTAACTTTCCCTGTAAACAAGTCCCCTCTCTGGGGCCTGGTTCGAGGTGGCCCAACATTAGGAGCTTTGATTCGAGTCTGCTTTCCCTGTTGGGCCTGGACAGCAATCCTCTGGGAGGAGGTGACCTAAGCTTCAGAGGGAGCATGTGTCACCTCTAGCAAAAATGCCAAGAAAGCAACAAAGTGACTGCTATCATTGTTCAATCCGCTACAGACAGGGACGTGGGATAGTACCGGCTGAGCACAGCACTGACCCATGGAGAGCACTCCATAATACAGGGTGTTCCCTAGCGTCTTCCATGAGCACAGGACTCTATCAATTCACAAGTAGCACAACGTTGGGTTAGGAGTAGGGTTTCTGCAACAAGAAGCCTGGGTTTGCATCTTGGCTCTGCCTCTATCAGCTCCATGGTCCGGAGCCAGTTACTTAACCTCTCTGCCTCAGTTTCCTCATCAGAAAAATGAGAGTGGTAATGGCGTCTGCCTCATCAGACTCTTATGGGGATTAAATAAGATATGTATATATGAACATTTACACATAAACATGAGATATGTTTCTATGTCTATATAAACTCTTAGAGAGTGCCAGGCACATAAGCACCCAGCAATATTAGCTATTGCTATTTATCAGAAAGGGATAAATACTAAACAGTCAAACATTTTGTGGGTGGTTTATAGTAATAAAAATTTTTTAAAAATGTGCACACTCAGTGATATAAATTAAAACGTGGTTTTTTTCTTTTTCATAACTCTTCGTTTAGTTTCTCTAAGGAGACAAGTCCATGGTTTTTAGCATACTCAGAGCTCTGAAATCACCACAGTTTTAGATTATTTTCGTCACCCTAAAAAGAAACCTTGTTTAGGAGTGATTAGCAATCACTCCCCATTTCTTCTCAACACCCTCCATTCCTGGCAACCACTGATCTACTTTTCTGTCTCTATAGATTTGACTATTCTGGACATTTCATATAAAACAAATTGTACAATATGGTAGTCTTTTTTGACTTACTTCTCAACATGTTTTCAAAGTTCATCATGTTGTAGCATAAATCAGTATTAAATTCTTTTTTTTTTTTTTTTTTTTTTGAGGTGGAGTTTCGCTCTTGTAGCCCAGGCTGGAGTGCAGTGGCGTGATCTTGGCTCACTGCAACCTCCACCTCCTGGGTTCAAGCAATTCTTGTGCCTCAGCCTCCCGAGTAGCTAAGATTACAGGCAGTTACTACCATGCCCAGCTAATTTTTTTCTATGTTTAGTAGAGACAGGGTTTTATCATGTTGACCAGGCTGGTCTCAAACTCCTGACAGCAGGTGATCCACCTGCCTCTGCCTCCCAAAGTGCTGGCATTACAAGTGTGAGCCACTGTGCCCGGCCCCTTGTTTCTTTTCTAAAACACATTCTACGCTTTTAAGTTTGCTTGGGAAAACTCAACATAGTGCCATAACCAACTGCCCCAAATGGGGTGTCTTACTAATACAGGGACC